AATCTGGCCCTGGTGTGAATGTGTGTATGGTATATCCAGCCTTGCGTCTGTCACTTGCCAGGCTACGGCTCCCCTGTGGCTCTGTATTGGATAAAGCAGCTAGATAATGGATGGATGGAGATGATGGAGTTTCTCATGGTATATGGTCCTTAAAAGGGAATATTGTTAGTTCTAATCTCCTTATTGATGATGGTTGTTATGCTGAATTCTGTTGTGTTGGGCTTGGCCGCAGAACTAATTTTTCCCCCTATAGGGGATCAAAATAAACTGGGACTTTGAATTTCACCTTGACTCTTCATGACTCTTGTCTGATCCTGGCCAAGACAGAGATGTGTTAAGTGAAAGCACACTGCCAATGAAGACAAATCATCTCCTATACCCCATCAAAAGGGATGTATTTTTACACAGTTTTTACACCTGTCCTCCTCCGAGAGGAGCAGCAGAGGGGATCTCAACAATATCATCCTTCTATTTCCCTTTTCTAAACACTGTTATCCATGCAGCACTGCTGTCACGTGAACAGGGTTGAGTGGTTGTGACATTATTAAATGTCAGCAGCAGGGTGGAAGGCAGGTTAGGGCTCGTGATGTGTAGCTAGAAGGTTGTGTGTTCAAATCCCGTGTGGGTCACTACTGTTTTATCCCTCGAGGGAGGTACATTGTGTAAATGTAAATGTCCACCACGTATGGCTCTTGGGATGAGAGCATCTACCACAAACAATCACCACAGCTCTCAGCGGGGGGGGTTCTGGAAGGGTGATGGGGGGTACAGATGAAAAAGCCTGCAGCCGAAAAACTTGTGCCATGTACCAGGGGCAGGGCTTTTGTGTGCCAGTATACGTACAGTATTTGCACCATCCCTATAAACTGCAATTCTACATTATATGTCGACATGTTTTTTTACGATGTTCATAAACAATGGTGGCTGTTTGATTGCCAATAGCTCATTGATCCTGTGGTCTCATCCTCCCGTTTCTTGAAGACTCCTAGAGACTGCACTTCAACAACGTGACCTCTTGGTGTTAAATTCATTCCTTGCGAAGATATGCTCTCTTGTTCTTGTTCTGGTGCTATTTCCTGGGAGCTGTTGTCTAGATGAGTCCGAACTCATCTGTGGGTGTTACATTGTGAGATGGAAAGATTCTCTGAGGAATTTTGTTTTAGGGTTTTAGAGTACAAAATAATCAGTTGGGATGGATGGGTTTTGATTAGATAGGCGTGCTATCAACAAGGAGCTGAAAGGAGCTGAAACTTATAGCCTAATGCAAGTTGTACTGTAAGTCAATGAAAACTCCTTTAGAAAGCAGAGAAGATGGGTATTTTAAATAGCCCACTTGCATCATGACGACGTTGTCACAGCTTACTCATCTACAAAAATACATACATTGTATTTTGACACTGTACACTGCAAAATGACAAAATACAAATAAGGAACAATTATTGATAATTATGGACTGAGAATACACAGTATACAGTCTATACGATATACTATAGAGTATACATACGTGCAGTAGAAACTGACTATGCTATTTCCTTCTCAGAGCTTTTTCTGGGGTTTGGCCGTACTGCTGTATATGCAGGAGTGTATGCAACTGATAAGAAATTTAGAATAACGATGGGTGTAGAAAGCTGTGCACTCTCAAGATTGGTGTCACCTACAGAGAACAGAGGGTGCATGATTGCTTTTTTTCTTACCACATATATTAAATTGAATTACTATTAGCCTTCTGGTTGTGCCCTAGTTTTTAAAAATAAAGATGAGAATGTCTCCACATCGACATGGGATTGGTCGCGCCGCAGGTGATGCAAAGCTCCGGTCTGGAAGTGGCCAGGATAGGAAGAAGGACTCTCTTTCTCATTTTATGACGGAGACAGAGCTGGTCTCTCTCGGGGGATTACCCTCAGTCTCTGTAGTGAACTGGAATGCAGTGTCTACTGTGACAATTGTCTTGTAGCTGGTGGTTCTAGCAGTACGTGGTCATGCTTTAGATTATAATTTAGAAATGCAGGTTTAACAGATATTCTGTTAATGATCCATTTGCTATAAATGCATTCATAATTACTCAGTTATGTTGTAGGGTTAAGGTAGTGTCCTCCCCACTGTGCATCTATAAATATTTTCATCCACAGAACTTCAGTTTGTTTATTCAATTGATTAGTAAGAGTCTAAATGAAATAAATTGTTCATACAGCTTAATCAAAAGTGTTACCCAATAAACCAATAAACCGTATGGTTTTCTTGTGCTCTAGAATAGGCTGTGGAGATATGGTCTATGTCTGATTTCTGGGTGTTCTATTGTTTTGGAGGTTTGTCTCTGTGGCTGAAAGCACGTCACTGCTTTAGGGCTTTCTTGTGCTGTTTGATTCCTTTGGTTTGGCTCCAGGGCCATAAAGCATGTGTTTCCCGCATTAGGAATTAAATATACAAGGATCCTTAATTTATTCTGGTCACAGACTCACAACATCTGATCATTAACACGGGAGCCAGGAGCACCATAAAAAATGGCTCACAGAGTGACTATATCCAGGGCTGGCACCTTCGCCTTTAGCTCATAAGTTACTTTGGATACATCTGCAATGTGCAGGGCCTGATATATTGCTTCATCACTATAGAGGCAGGTACATTTGGAGCTATGAAATAAACAGCACAATTAGTCAGGGCTGACAGAAGCTTGCAGCATCCCTTTTTAATCTTTTTTATTTTGTGTATGAGCTAATTCTTGGGCCATATACAATCATATACACCTCTGTCACATCTGTCAGCATCCATACAGGTTATGTATTTACACATACAGTATATATTAATATAATTGATACGTACTGTATGTATAAACTATAACAATAATTGCATTTATGTAGTGCTTTTATCCCATAGTGGTTCATATAAAGTAGGAACCCACCATTGAAGTGTAGCCTCTTCTTTCCACAGCAGCCTCGCGCCACAGCAGGTCAGGTGGTGAGAAATTCAGCAGCTAGGTTAAGGAGGCACATTAGGGAGGCCTGATTGTATAGGCCCAGAGTAGAATTTATCCAGGACCCCTGGGTCAGCAGCCCACCTATTATGATCCGCGTCATGAGACCTACAGTAAAGTTAGGAGCCTTAGAGTTCAGTTTTTTTACATCTTACCCGAAGGACGGGGCCTCAAACAGCACAGTACATGCCGCCAGACAGGGGCATTGGTTTGGAAATTATGGTCAGGAGAGAAGAGCACCACCTACTGGTTCATCAACAACACAGCAGTTACATGGTTCTCCTTAGAGGTCTCCCATCTGAGTTCTGTAACAATCTAGTCTTGCTTAGCTTCTGAGATCTGACAGTGGTGGTAACGCTGCTTTCAATATGTATATTTATTCATAGATGTATTGATTATGCTTTTTTGGACATCCAGCATATTTGCTAGAATAGATTTTAAACAATTGCCTTCCTGACTGTGATGTAATGTTTTTTTTTGGCTGCAAATAATCCACTATAAAACTGCTTGTAAACTAGAAAAGAAATAATGTATTCTGAGTTCTGTCTTCTTCAGTACTATCTGTTTCCTCTAAATTGGTTTTCTTTATCTTTCTTAAATGTCAGTCAGCCAGTTGGCTGCAGCAGTTTTATTAGACCTAAACAAGTTGTATGCATTGTTGTAAACACCCAGTGCCGGGGATGATTGACAGCTGGGAAACCTAGCTGTCCCCTGCTCCTGTGAGCCTTAGTCTCCTTCACCAGCTCAGCCCTTGGCAACAGGAGGATTTCCAGAGCTATTTGCTCTAACCTGAAGGACTGCTCCCCGTTTTCCTAACCGCCATTTTAAATGCAGCCGGAGACCAGACATGAGATAGATCAACTACTTGTTTTTTCTCTCTTCTTATGAGAAGAGAACTTGTGGAACAATGGGTGAAGATAGCTGAAGACTGGATTTTTTCAGAAGAGTGTAAGAAGGCAGCCTTTGTCCAGCAGGCTGTGGGGAGAAGATAAGTGGAAACAATTGACAATGTGTGACATTTTAAACACCAGGAAGAAGAGGCTTTGTACCTTCTGTCTGGAGATGGAGAGCAGAAAAATCACCAGAGCGAGCAGTGACCAAATGGGGAACTTTACTCACACTTGGTTAATTTTATAATATTTGTGAGAAACTTTGGAAAATTCTAAAAGAAGAGACTGAAGTCTAAGAAGCATCTTATGGAGACTCTCAGTTTTCATTTTTGAAAACCAGTAAGCAGCTGAGCTGCCCAGTGTCAGGATCGTAATCCCTCCTCTTAAGGGCGCTCCGGCCCTTTCGTATTTTAGCTGTTTACAGGCACCTGCCCCCTGTTCAGTCTCCATATTTAATCCTGGCGCTCCCGCTATTCCTGGCTCAGCACTGGGAGATGGACCATACCAGCAGGTCCAGGAGACATCCAACGGCACAGGCTTCATCACGGCGTCCTGACCATCCTGGTTTTATTCCCTGTCCGTGTTCCGGATCCTGTTCTGGATTTTAACTGTGTTCGTTTCATCTTGGATGGATCCCCCGGTTTTGGACTTTGGACTGCACCCCGGATTCCCCCTTTTACACTGCCTGGACCTGTTTGCTCTTGCCACGCCCCCCGAGCACCGGATCACCATCATCATCCCCACCTGTCTGTCTACCCACCCAATCCTACAGTACCTTCCCCGGGTGTCCTTCTCCACTTACTTCCGGATTATACCGTCTGCATAGGGTCCTGAACTACGCTTCGCGGGAGCCTGCACCGGCTCCAGTTACACCCAGTATTCATAGTTAAGCTTTCTGTTATTGTCTAAGCTAAGACAGCAGCTTTCTGTTGAAAGTGATCCAGACAAGGGCTGGCCTCTTACAAGAGCAAAAAGAATTTGAAAGTTTTCCCATGTGTCTGAAATTCTGGTCTGGAGGGAAAAGCACAACCTACACGTTCATCAACAACACAACACTTACAGCACAGACCTGGTTTTCCTCTCTGTACTGAGGAGATCAAGGAGTTTTTTTTACAAGAACTCTTCTTCCCTTGTTTCAGGTATCTAGTCTTCCTGCAGATCAAGAGAGATCTGTACCATGGTCGCCTCCTGTGCAAGACATCAGACGCTGCGATCCTGGCTGCTTACATCTTACAAGGTAATCAGATTTGACAAAGACAAATATGTCTTTCTTGAAGAATGTATTAGTTCTCAAAGTACATTATTCTATCTGTAACAGGGCACTGTGATGCCCACATAAATATTTCTTTACAGAAGCCCAATGTATTTCTCCAAGATGTATAAAGTACAGAGGGGTCATTGACACGTGATCAAAAAGAATAGGAAAAAATATATTTTGACATGTCGCAGAGTATGCAACAGAAACTTTCGCAATTATATGCATATGTTTATCCTGAAGTCTAAATGTGCAGTTTTCTGTATATCGAAGCAAGTGACTTGTGCAGTGCATGTGCTGCATAGTAAAACAGAAACTGATTGTGACAGGTCTGTGTGGTAACACAGCTAGCACCAAAATTCATCAGACCCAAACACAGAAGGGTGCATAGCTGGATGTTCTGACATGTTCACAGTTGTGAATCATATTTTTTTTCTAAAAAACTTTAAATAGACGTAAGAGTGTCTGCTTCAGTTGATTAGGAGAGGCTTAACATTGACTCCCACCTGAAGGGTTACGGTGTGCTAGTCATGGAAATGCTGCTATAATTGGGCCAGGCATGCTCAGTGCAGTGGAGGGAAAGATTGGTGTGTTAAAAGCATGTTACAGGATCAATTCTGGATAATGAGCCATTCCCACAGCCCCGGCTAAGCAGCCAGAGAGAGACAGGAGGGAAATTAAACTGTGATGTGGAGAGGAAGCAGTTAGAGGCATGGCAGTCTCCTCATCTGTTACCAAAAATACCAGTTAGGCATGCCAGTTAGTACTGATGGAGTACTAACCATCGCTGTTTCAGACATGGCGACATTGACCACGAAGGGAGTAAAAGGCTGTTCTGATGTGTTCTGGAAATTAAAAGAAATGCTGACCACCTTCAAGCGTGGTATTCCCTGCCCAGTGAACGTGCACCTACCTGGAGCACTGTTAGCACTGTTGTCTTACAGTGGGGAAAACTGCTGCAGCTGCCTTCACAGGTTTTGCCAAGAGGGCTGCTGTGCCTCTCGTGGCATTGTTCTGATTGAATTAAAGACGTGTTGCTTTGTCAGTTAATTGGAGAATGTTAGCGCAGTGAGACCATTTCTCCCCAGCAGATACGCAAAGTAAAGCCGGTTTCACTTTGCAAGTGCTGTGACAAGTAAACCCCAGACTAACCATTGCACATCTTTGCAAATTTAAAACCCCACCTGGGCTTGGTTCTGTTTCATTATGTATTACGGGTAGCAATGTAAGAACTCTGTTTTTACGCTCTTCAAGCGTTTTTTATACAATTAGATGCTTTCTGCAGGCACGTGGGACTTGAGCTGCTCTAGAACAAAGGCAAATGTGTTTCTCTCTATTGGACGTAGTTACTCTCATTTTTTATTGACATGTTAAACCCTTTCAGATTTGGTTAGGAAAATTTTAGGTTGTGTGAATTGTCTAAATTTGGTTGCTTTTGTTGGTTTTGATTGCCTAATTTTCCTTTTAATGACCTTAATTTCAGGACAAAGAAACGTCATCTTATGTGTCCATTTTAGAACAGATCTGCTGCCCCTTGTATGTTAAGAGTCTACAGTCATTTGTAAATTACGTTTTATTGATTTGAACTGATTTTGTTTGTGCCAAGATTCCTGTATGGTGGTCCAGTAGCAGGGTTTTGTTGTATTTTGTAAAAAACTACTGTATGATGTCTCATAAACTGGAACAGTAGCCTCATTTCAGCTGAGCCTGCATCTCTACAAACTAACATGGATTTACTCTGGGTTGTAGTTCTGTAAATAATGCTAAAGGGGACTGGCACAGTCATACTGCAGTAAGCCTTGTGTCTCCTAGTTGTTGGGTCCTGAATTCATTTCCATACTAGAATGCATTCAGTATGCCGTTGCATATTCTGCCCATGTCTGCTAGTTTGTTTCCAGGTGGTCCAATGTGGTGTTGGCTAAGTGAACTGGTGTATCTAAACTTGTCCCCCTGTATATGGTCTGTTATGACCTGGAATCTCATCCAGGGTGAAGTCCCACTTTGTGCCTGTGAGAGGCCCTGTGCTGCTGCAGGTCATACAGTATATAAATGATAAATGTACTTATTGGGCATCCACCTAGACCATTCTAGCTGATACGTTCTGGTCTTCCTACTGTATGAACCAGTGCATCAGGTCTTTGAAACACATGCCTCTCATTTGCAGGTTTAAATGGGGCATATTTTTCTTTTCTAGCTGAAATTGGGGACTACGACCCTGGCAAGCACCCTGAAGGCTACAGCTCCAAGTTCCAGTTCTTCCCCAAACACTCAGAGAAGCTGGAGCGCAGGATTGCAGAGATTCATAAGACTGAGCTGAGGTGAGGCATACCTTTCTGTCCATCATGGCCGTCAACATCACGATATCGGTAACACTAGCAGGGAGCTGGCTGACTTGGGTGTATAGTGGTGCATAAGATGCTGTATATCCCTGGCTTCAGTGTAATCCCCACTGATTTTTAAAACAAACACATGCTGAATTGAAAAATGCTCCCAAATCCTTCTAGAGACAGCCTTTCCACAGACCAACAGAGCTTTGCAATGTCCAAGTCAGTTTCATGAGATTTCAGTAATGCCCCCTGTAAATGTATACTGTACCTCCAATGGTTAGTCTTCTTCTCTGGTGTTTTTTACAGTTAGAGAACCAGACCTAAAGCTACTGTAGACTCCCTGTGTGGAGTCATTGACCCAAGAAGGGATCCAGGGGGACCTCTCTTGATTCTCTTGCTCTAAATCCCTTCACTTAAGCCCTTCATTCTGGAAAAGTATGGTATTACCATTGTATAGCCCAGGAAAACATGGTGTAACTTAGAATATTAGAAAACCAGAGTAAATGTGCGGAAAGAATAGGAAGTGTTCTGGGAAACGTGTGATCTTCCACTGCAGATGTAATGTGGTTGGCTTCACATAAAGTGGTTACTTTGAAACTATATGCATCCAGAAAAAAATAAAATAAAGCTGTGCCTAAACCACACAGCAAGCAGGTTATTCATAGCCCAATATATTCAAATTTACACCTCTTTCAATAGTTACTGGTAAGTACATGTAAGAATACAAAAGTTCCAAGCTTAGCTGTAATGAAGGCCGCCATCCAACTAATATAAAAACATTAGAAAAAACAGTTCACAAGAAGCTATTTACATGAGCAGCTTAAGACAAGAACAGAGCAGATTTCTAACACGCGTTGGTATTGATAAGGGCAGGCAGGAGCATGAATCATGCTGTCCCAAACCGGGTCCGGACTCGGTTCAAGACATGATTGATGGCAGTGCCAGGGCAGGACTGATGCCACAGGCCTGTGGCTTTTCTGGAGCTGTGGTGTTCACAGAAACATTTATTAGAGAGACTTCACAATCCATTATCTAAATGCCAGCTACTTGCAGTAGGATACAAGCTTCAAAATCTACAACTTTCCAACTGTTCTTGCAGTGTTCGAGGTACAGTAAGTGCTTGAGGTTTTCATTAGCGTGTTCATTAACAGTGGATTTTAAAACCTTGTAAAATCATTCAACTGGATAGTCACTGTGCGTCATCAGCCTTTTTCTGTGTCATTTCTGTTTTCTTTATTGCATAAGCATAAGTTCATCATGCACCACCCTGGCAGTAGTGCAGTGTTTTTGCAGACAAATAGGACAATTCCATTAGCAAGGGATGTCTGTTTAGAAATTATAATACGGTCCAAAGCCACCCTATTATTGAAGGAATTGAATAAGGAATATCTACATATTTCTCATTTAATTCCTACATATATTTGTCTGTATATACTGTACCATATACTGTAGATGAAATGCCTGCACAATATAAAATGGAATATCCCTAAATAACTAATGTGTGGAAGATTTGTGAGTGCTGAGGTTCAGTAGGTGTAGGCTGCCCCTGATGTGCTGTGTGTCCTTGTGATCAAGTAGCACAGTGTCTGTCTCTGTTATAAAGTCAAGGGGAAGACCTTCTCCTTTTATAGTAACCAGGAAGCAACAAAATCTACCATATGAAAATTAAGGGAAAAAATGGAGTACTTGTATCATTGTCAAATGATAACCATTCGTGTTGTGAGAAGAGCAGAACAGTGTACCAACGCATCAACCTGAACAGACTCCATCTTCTACCTCCTAGTTAAATACCAACTAAAACCACAGAATACACTTCCACCCTCTCCATATAATATTGACACAAACCTCTGGCTCAGGGCTTATATCCCATCTGTTCATTTTCTAACAGCTTTATCCAATTCAGAGGTGTGGAGGAGCCTGAGCCTATCCTGGCAAGGAATGGGATCAAGGCAGGGTACATCCATCTATTACAAGGCACAAATAGACATAAACACGAACACACACTCACTCCAGGGCTAATTTTCCCAGGAGCTAATTAACCTGCCAGTGTGTTTTTGAACTGTGGGAGGAAACTGGAGCACCAGAGGAATCACATGCGAACACAAGTAAACTCTGTGCAAGGAGCACTGTGCCACTGTGCTGCCACTTGTTTCCTAATGATGAGAATGCTTGTGTCCAGATGTAGGCTCAAAAAGAAAAGGAAAAAAAGTGGTTCGGTCTGTTTCAAAGCATTGTATCTGAGTGCACAGAAAAGGAAACACATGGCATTTGAGCGAGATTTCTAAGAAGTATCTCTCTCTCACCAACTCCTTCTTTGAATGTTTTACAAATAGGACAGGCTTATTTGCATAATATGACATCACTCACAGGACAATGACAGCCATTCTGGAAATATGATGTGGATCTTTATGCAGATAGAGACTTGGGGTGAAACTGACAGAATCGGTGTTTTACAACAGCCCCTGACACATTGCTAAAAGCTTCACTTAAAATCAGAATGCAGCTGTTTTCCTTAAAGCAGCTCACACATCTCTAGAGTAATGCTGTATCACTTTCTTCAGCGAAGTCATCTGATCTTCATAGTTAAAGGAGCATTGCTCTCTGTTGCCCTCTTGTGGCAGGATTGGGGTGACTGCAGAAGGTGCTGTGTAATTGCCAACAGGGGTGGTTTCACTTATTCTTGACCTTTTGGCTTCCCACTTGGAAAGATCAACTGCAACACCAACAAGCAAACAAGCTGATAATTCCAGGAACCTCTGAGGAAGTGAAGTAGGACTAAATTAAGTTTTCACAGGCATCAGAATTTACAGAAAGAAATCTATTTTCCTGTTCTTTGTTTCAAATGTGTTATATGGTGAAAGAAAGAAATAAAGAATTCAATTTTTAGTCTAAAACAAAGCATTATAATAGACAACTCTATAACAAGGATCATTGTGCAGCATTGTTGATCCTGCCTATTACCTAGCACAGTTATTGTCAGTTGGTTTTGATTGATTCTACTATTGACTCCTAAACGCAGAGGTATCTTCTGGGGTAAGACAGGTATTTATTGTTCAGTAAACCCATTGACCAGCTGTCCGGATTCACCATGCCCATGATGGATCAGGCTAGTCCATTAACTCAGAGCACATCCACTGATCCTCACTTCTTCCCAGTTTCCAGTACAAAGTCAGATAATGCAAAGGCAAACGCAACGTAGGCAGAAAAATGAACAGAACAGATCCAGAGAATGAGGGGTTGTAATTAAGCAATTCACAAGGGAAGTGGGGAAGTGATGGAAAAGAATGGCAGGCCTCGTTCGGAAGCACCGGGTGTTTTGTTCCCTCCGCTGGCTCGCCTGATCGCCCTGTTGTGAGGATGGTATGTTCGACCTGTCCTAAAAACTGTCTGCTTTCCAGCGGACAGTCACCCGACACGTCAGAGCTGAACTTCCTGCAGAAAGCCCAGATGCTGGAGACGTACGGAGTGGATCCTCATCCTTGCAAGGTGAAGAGGAGTTGATCCTTTGTAGGATCAAGACTCTGAGGAAAGATCTGGGAAGATCTAATCCCAGGAAAGGCAGGAAGTTAGAGGAGGAGAATAGGGCTGTGTCAGTCATCTGGCTGATAGCTACTCATTTTTCCAGGAAGCTCATTTCTGGAAGGATCTTTCTAAATTAGCATTAGTAACTAGTATTGTTGGCCTCTCCCCCATAAAACCTGTAACTAATAATGTATTTTGTTTCCATGCAATGTTGTTTTGAAGTAAACTAGTCTTCTTTTTAAAATGGCCATTGCTACTCATTTAGAAATAAAAGAATGTGACAAAACGATAAGTGAACAGTGCCTGTTTCTCCACGTCTTCATCAGGATGTGTCAGGAAATCCTGCCTTCCTTGCCTTCACCCCGTTCGGCTTCGTGGTGCTTCAGGGAAACAAGAGGATCCATTTTCTCAAGTGGTGAGTGGAGCCCTGCCTTGCTGAAAGTACCTTGGTGTCTGCTCTTCTTAAAGAACAGGAACAGCATGGCGACGTCCATCCAGTCACAGGAGCATCGGAAACCAGCAAAAACCTCTGGTTAGAGAAGGGGAAAACAATTCAAATCTAAACACTGTACTCATGGTGATGCCTCCTCCCTGCGCTACTCTTACTGTCTGTATGTGACACATCATTGTTTCTCCCAATACAAGAATCGGTGGCCTCAGTTTGTGTACAATAGACATTATTAACACACAGAGAGTTAGGTTTGTGCCAGACAAAAGCAGTATAAGACTGTGCATATACTTCCTGGACCAACATGCGAAGGTGGAATAGTTTTCTGTGATGTTCATTTAGAGACCACAACAGGTGCACCTGGGCTATGTCAGTAAAGACAAGGCTGGGCAGCAGAGGTGAAGGAGCTCCAAGGCAGTGTGGTACAGGGTGCCTTCTGGAGTGCTGACAGTCCCTGCGGTGTAGGACTGTGTGTAGAGTCTCTGTGATAGCTAGCCCCGGCAGACTGGCCCTGCCTTTGTGTGTGGATCCAGAGGCCAGGAGGACAGGCTGGCTCCAGTCTGTAGTTTGTCCAGGCTGGATGTGTGTTCCTGTTTGTTCAGATCCCTGTTTAAACAAAGTGATTCGGGCATATCTGTGTAATTGTTAGGGGTGGGTTTTGATTTCGGCATCTTTTTTTGGGGGGTCTTTGTTGCCCAGATCAGCACCCTGCGTGCAGTCATTCTGGAATCCCCATGAGATTCAATACCAATCTGCTTCTTCAATCATGAGTCCTAGGAATCTTGTCCTACCTTTTATTCAGCCTCTTTCTGTGTTTATACCACTGTGCAAGCCATGTAAAATTTATGGAAGCAAAATAGCAAAAAGGCTTCTGTTGATTTAAAAACTGCTCCACAGTACTATATCTCTCCCTCCTATTTTTATCAGCACTTTTCTCGTTCTGTAGTAATACTGCACAAAGTGCCCACAATGGATTTGGTTTTTTCCACTGTGCCTATAGCCAAATCCAGACGTCTCGTTTTCAGAATCATATGTATTTCTTAACGGTATATTGAGTAACATTTGAGTTTCTTTGACGTGTCAGCGGGCGCTGGTAAATTTTTAAAGATGTAAGATGGAATAAAGCGTTGCTCCGTTGCTGCTGTGGGGCACTCTGTCTGCGTTGGCTGCAGCAGCTGAGAAGTGATTTTTCCTCTCCTTGTTCTGTGTAGGAATGAGGTGACAAAGCTGAAGTTTGAAGGAAAGACATTCCATATATATGCAAATCAGAAGGAGGTAAGAGCTTGCATTATTAAAAAGATTCATATTTATTAAAGCCTTCTTTTAGAAGATTTATACATAGAGAAAAACAGTATTCAACATATTGTAATGTTTAGAAATGCAACACAGCTACTGATGATGTTTTTCATTACCTTGTCAGTGGGATTGAGCACACCGACAGTAAAAGCATTTATTGGTAGAAGCAGACTGTCAGTGGAGGCATCTGATCAGTATTATGTATTTTCTCAGAGAGACTGTTGATCGTGATAATTGCTGTTGTCACTTATTTATTTTGTGTTTGCAGGATAAAAAAATCATTTTGACATACTTTGCACCTACGCCTGAAGCCTGCAAACATCTCTGGAAGTGTGGAGTAGAAAACCAGGCCTTCTACAAGTGAGTGGTCACTGTGTCTGTTCTTCTTTTCATCTTATCCAAGAGCTCAGTTACTTAATTAGGTTAATTATTTGATTCTACTGAAAGATGGGACTCTTGCATCCAGAACAACTTTTCTAGCCACTAGTTTTTGAATGAACTGCATCCTAAAATAATCACATAGTAATTAGGTCTATTAAGATCAATGTGAAACTACACTTGGAACCTAGAGCAATATACCCTTTACCCCTTGAGGGAACAGTATTTGACACCCCGAATCTGAGCTTTTATTAATTTTTTTTTTTAAATTTGCCTTACCATTGCAATTTATTGTATTTGAATCTATCTTTTTTGCATACAGTAATTTGTTTTGTAAATAAGTGAGTACGAAACATTAGAAGTAACATTTCCCAGAGATTTCCGACTTGGTGGGTCTTTTTAAAAAAAAACCAACTGGCTCTTCAGTTTAGGATAGGCACCCTGAACTCTCTAATGGAGGGAAAAAAGGCAGAATACATTTTCAGAGGTAATGTCCCTCCTTGGATATTGGATATTGCCAAATAGTTCAGATACTGTTGTATTACACTAGCATGTAGCCTCTTTATAAAGGATCAATTTCCATCCTCCTCTTCACCTGGACCCTCCTGCCTGAGCTGAGAGATTTTCAATACCCAAGAGGCTGTGGCTTCAGGGTGAGGGCTGTGCGCCTTGGTCACTTTGCACATGGCCGGCTGGCAATAACAAGCCCTGTTCCTGTTTCCTCCGCATCAAAGAATGAGGCCTCAGAGGTGCACTAAATAAACACAGGGAGGTTATGGGAATGCAGAGGTACGGTGATAAACGGCGTAAGCCGATAAGTGAAATGAGAATAAAGCCTGCCCCAGTCGCAGATGTTCCACAGAAGGTCCATACTGTACCTCCTCATGTGTCAAAGGTGCCCCCGGAGACTGCATGGGCACTGCAATGCAAGCGCATTACAGGAGCAGCCCGCCTCTGGATAACAAGCTGAGCCTCGCTGGCTTGGCGGCTCTCCGCGGTCCTCAAGCTCGGCCGCGCACTGTCATTGACACACGGGAAATATTTACCTCCCTGGGACAGGAGAGGGAGGACTGTGTCTTTGTGACTAATGAATTGTTTGCGGCTGGGGAGGCCTCATTACCCCAAAGTCCCTTCGTAATTCAGACCTTTTTCATTCTTTCGTGCCTTTGCATATTCCAATAGGAAGCTTACGCTTTTAGCAAAATTTGTGGAGAACAAAAGAATGAAATCTAGTGATGCTGCTATTTCTTCTTATGATTGTTATGTGACAAGCACTCCACTTCAGTCAGTGAGTTGGTACAGGTATCTTATCCAGAATGTTACAATATTGTGACACAATCTGAGAAGTGACTTAATTTCCAGATGGTCTTGATCAAATGCTTTTCATCCGCAGAAACGTACACTGCAGTATAACTTTTAAAACAAAAGCCAGCTGGCGTTGTACAGCTGTGTGTTCAAATTCGTACATGCATCGAGAAAAGAAAGTTGCGTCAGGACAGAAAGCCATTAATTTAAACTTCGGGAAGCCAGGCAGCAGAGATGACCACTTACAGAGGATTGTATTAAATCAGTCAGATAAGGCTTAGAAAACACGATCACATTAGGACTGAAGTAAATCAAAGACATTTTAAAGGTAAATAAAAGATTAATAATAAAAAGCCCCCTGTGGATTTTGATGCACAAATAAAAAAGTGGAAAAGGGGAAACAGAGTGAAACGCTAAAGGATCATGTTGGCTCGATGGCTTGTAAGGAAACAAGCTTTACCCTGTCTGTAAATTAAACATGACCTCCCGTCTGCTCGACAGTAAAGCCCTGTCTCCAGAATGAAATTCTACACTTAAATGTGAATGTTCCCTCAAGTGTGCTAAACATGTTTAGCTTCCCTTTTATGAAAATAACTATACAGTAAAAGCTTTTCTTCCTGTAGTGGAAGCCTGTGAGTAGTAGTACAGTATATGTACTAGATAAAACCATAACAAACCAAAAAGACGTTTGGTACCCTTTACAACTAAGAGAAGTCTGTTCCTCTCTTTCCTGCTTTAACTCTTTATGGTCTTTTTAATAAAAATGGTGCTCATATTATAGGAATGTTTTCTTTGTTAGAAAAATAACTCAGAAAAGTTTTCTTTGATGTGCAGCAGTATTTACAGGTGGTGGGACCCAGAAGTCCCCAAAGCTTTCACTGGATCTATGTTGAATATTCTGTTATTAGGTTTTCAAAAAATTTGTTTTCTGCAAAGTGTGCATGTATTGTTTTATTGGGTGTGTAAAATGTTTTATACATTTTTCAAGGATGATGGTTTAGCTACATCATACAATAATGATTTAGCTACAAACAATGATTCAAGTGTACAAAGAAAAAAAAACTTGTATGTGGTGTTTATATGTGGTGAAACTTTTTTTTCTTTCACAAAAATGGAAACTTTGCAGATTGAGCACCTTGAATGTGGCTGAGATTCCATTTTTTTGTATCGGCACACTATTTACATCAGTCTCTATGGGAGATGAACTTTGGCCAGCCTCCTCCTCAGATCTGGAAGTCTGACCATCACCTACCACATTTTTCTAACTCTGTCCCCTTGTTGTTCTGCTTGCTGTAGGTTAGAGAAGTCGAGCCAGGTACGCACTGTGTCCAGCAGTAACCTGTTCTTTAAAGGGAGCCGGTTCCGATTCAGGTAAATAACAACAGTAAGTAGAGTGAAAATATTTTACGGTTAAAGGAGAACTTCAAATGGAAAGAAAGTAGTCACCTTGTGAAAATAGTCAATTCTGAGAAAACAAAGTATGAACTGAAGGTGGTCGATGGACCTTTACAATTTAGGGTATATAAAGCTGTTTGGTCTCAGTGCTGTTCTTCAGATTGTGTGCTCGCACCATCAACCGAGGGCCTAGTGCAGCTGAAGGAAGATTGCACATAATTTTATAGCGTGCACAAACAATTCGCCGAAGGCTGTTTTTTTGCCAGATTCAATAAACCAACAACAGGAGAGGAGCTGAGTCTTTGCATAAGTGGTTGGAATTGAGTCAAAGCATTACAAAGGCAGAATGAAAATAAAATGGGGGAAGTTTAAAACGTTCTCTTCCCTTCCTCTTGTACTCTTCTCTCTTCCCTGATGGATCAGATATGCAAATCTGGAGGGGAAGACTGAAGTTCCCATTGCTCTGCACGCACTCTGTTTGCTGTTTAGGTTGCATTTTGTTTTCTGAAGGAATGTGATTGAATTTGGAGGTAATGAGTTCAGGAGGTTAATGAAATCAAACTGTTCCAGGCCGACACTAGTGCAGCGAGTTCAAAATGTCCTATGTTGAAGGAGATACTTGTCTTGCACTTCACCAGACCTTCAGACAAGTACATTGCAGTGCAGGTTTTGTAGTCTGAGTTTTTTTTTTTCTTTGCCCTTTGTTTTAGCGGTAGAGTAGCAAAAGAAGTGATGGAGCAAAGTGCAAAAATCAAACGAGAACCTCCTGAAATACACAGGTAAGAGGAGTGGAGTTTTATCAGCTTTTTTTCAACTGAGCGATAACCACACATGTGAACTAGAAGTTTACTTGATTTGTTGAACACTGCAAGGTGATAATGTGTTTGTGCCCTTGAAACTGAAGTCAGTAGTTTTCAGAGCACCGAGGAGAAAAGGCACAGTCAGATTTAAAAAGCACATTATATCAGTCGTGCTGCATGACATTCAGTCAAATCAATTATTTTACCTTCCCACATTACAATACTGATGGGGAGATACACAGACAATGTTAATGATGGTCAGCAGTAGAACCACTACAGGATAATATAAGCAAATGCAAAGTCTTATAGAACAGAGGAAGTTGTAGATCTTATTTTAGTGCTTTGGCTGTTTGGCTTTGTGTTTTTCTCAATAACCTATAATGGTAAGAACTGAGAAGAACCTAAGAAGAATAATCAAAGTACCTATAAAGATTATTGAGGCAAGAACCTTCTCTAGCAGCTTTATTGAACAATTCCAACTACATTGCTAGATACCTACATTTCTACGTGAAGTGTTTCCTAACTTTCTGGTCTAATTGCACACACTCAGGTCAGGGTACTGTTGATTGTACAGTGAGCGAAGCCAGCATGCATCACTTTGAAAAAGATCAGCCTCTAAGCCCTACTTCCAACACCATCCAGAAGAGAGGCCTGCAGGAAGTTCAGAATCCCTCTCCTACATAACCCTGGGGTTTCTGTCCTCACAGGGCTGGCCTGGTGCCCAGCAGGAGTTGCCCGTCCATAACGCATGGCCCGCGCTTGAGCAGTGTGCCGCGCACACGTCGGAGAGCAGTGCACATCTCCATCATGGAAGGTAAGGGCCCACTCCTTCGCTTAGTCCCTCTCACTTCATCACATCACACAGCGTCGCCACCAGCACTGCGCATAGGCAGTGACAAGGCAGCGAGCTGGGTACGTATTCTTTACCCCAAGGGTCCTGGATTGTGTGGAAAAAGCTAGCCAGCCATATGGTTAAAGCAGACAAACTAGCTTCCTTCAGGACACAGCTGGATGGGATCCTGGGATCGATAAGCTACTCAACACCAGATGGACCAAATGTAACCTTTCTTGTGCTATTAAATGGATTACAGAAGGCGAGGGCTCTTGCGCTGTTTTCCTCTGTCTCATGTTTTGCGCTCTAGCGTATCTGTCATCAGGGCATCTTCCGTTTTCCTTCTGAATTGTATTCCTGGTGAACAAAAAGTAGTTATTTTGTTGGATGAAAGTCAGACACACAGCTCTTCACAGTTCCGTCGTACGAGCAGCCCCGCCAGAGTCAGCGGGGCATTGTGTGTGGTAAATACACAGTCTCCCTGGCAGCCCCCATCTAACCCCGAACCTTAGCAATGCCCAGCCTGTATTATGCCCTATCGCATGGTCCTTTTGGCCACAGATAGAGAATTGACTCTTACATTTTCCAACCTGCAGACTGTGGAAATTGTTCTCAGGCTGTAGGAAGCAGGTCGACTGGTCATATTAATGTCCATCTTTGCTGTTGCTTTTTTCTGCAGCCAGCCACCTCCTTTACCTCATGCCAACGGGCAGTGCACTTAAGGATTTCTTTTAAGCACTCTTGTTGTTCGAGATAGTCTTCCTTAAGGGTTGAGGCCCTAATCCTCTTATTCACTATCTGTGAACAGAAAGAACTGAGCTCTGTCATTAGGACGCTCAGCAGGATCTCTCCTGCTAGAGGCTGGTAACCTGAGTCTGGTGTGGGAGGAGGTGTGTTTCTGGACTGGGTCCTTGGACTGCAGAGCCTGTTCCCAGGCGTCTCTGTCACTCAGAGCAGAGTGGAGCTCCAGGCTCATTCTGTTCTTTGTACTAAGTGGCGCTCAAGCCTGCAGGGGCAATCAGAGTGCCAAGTGCCCATTAGGAGTCAGCTCTTGCTATGGTGTGTAGGTTGACATCACACCTTGTTGGTGTGGGCTGCCCTTGCAGACTGTGCTCTGGAGGATTTGTGCCTCTTATATTTTTGCTAAAAATTAAACACTTTAGCTACAGCAATGCAGAGGATTACTGTTTTCTTCCATAGAAACAATTAATTTTAGGAAAAATATTATTTTGTTGAGAGCATGGGGATTTGATTCTGAGCCTGTCAGTTAAAGAAAAGCAGGCTAGTTTTATTGAATGTGAACCCCCTTTTCTGTCTTACATCTGCCAGGATTGGTTTCTCGATTCAAGCTAAAGCCTTTTGCGAGGGTAACACAGGACTGTTGAGTTCCAACAGTGCATGCTGTGTGCTCAGAATCTGGGTGTGAGATTTTTGCAGTTCAACCTGCTGTTTAATTTATTAAAATACTGCAGCCCATGTTGACAAATGCCCCAGCTGTCCTTGTGTCGGCCTGGGTATTAATATCGCCTCTGAAAATAGCAGACCCTGTCAGGACTGAAGTCATGCGTCCTTCCTCACCATTTATGTCACTGCTGTGAGGCTGGGGAAAGGTTTCTGGGTATGCGACAGGACGCATTCCTGCCTCTCTCTTCTCCCCACGCAGCCTCCCTCCTCTGCTTTGCGGGACGGCTTAGGCTGTGTGCGTGCAAGAGAGGGACAGGGAGGCAGGGATCGAGAGGGCTGAACACTCCAGGGGGACCACCATGGTGAAGTGCTTGATCAAGATCAAAACGAAGGTGAATGTTCACCTGAGGATGATCAACCACTGCTATCGGGACGTGAGGGTACGGGTGCTAAGTCTGGGGCCCCGAATCTTTGGGAATGCCGTGGGGGCACTGCCACTTTTCCCAGCGCTGACTGGTTACGGCCAATCCGACCAGCCCCAGGCGTCCTCTCTGCTGGGCTTCCCTCAGACCTACTTGCAGCCTGGCGGCTCTGCTGAAAGATTGCCCATCATCTCTCCTGGCCTCTATGCTGGTCCCTACGGCAGCACCTCCGCAGGTAACGTGCGGACTGACATCACGGCACCGACACATTTTGGAATGACATTATTTCATTGTGCTGGAGCACCCGTGCTGCTCTTGTGTGGTAGATACTCCTTCGTCGCGTTAAAAGCAAAGGGCTCGTGCAGGTAGTTCTTTACTCGCACAAGTCTGTGGTTAAGGGTTCGATGTGTTTTTTGGCTCACCTGGCACTTTTTTCTTTATGCCACTTCTAACATCCCACATGCTGGCTTGGTTCATGGTTTGGGGCTCGAAAGCCTGTGTAAGTCAGCATTTTCTGGTGGGTTTTGTACTGTTTGGGATATCTAGTAGTTCAGGGCCTGTTGGGCTGCAGTTTGTGTCTTGGATCCTTGGAATTTGCTGACCTCACAGGGCTTCAGAAAACAGTGACATAAACAAGTTGCTTAGTATCCAGAAATACTGACCGATGGCAAAAAGGATTTTATGAGGAAGGATTGTGCTGTTTGTCAATTTTCAACAGTGGCATTTTGTTTTCTGAAGTTATATGTCTGCTAGCCTGTAGTGACTCTAGAGATTAACAAACCCATCACATACAGTACCACTTGGATTTCAATCCAAATAACTGCAGTTAGATGTGTGCTGTCAGGCGAGTATTATTGTGGGCTATTCAAGAATTAGTGATGAGCTGAATGTGTTCCTCCACACACACACAGCTCTATCCATTCACTTATACTGTAGATATATAGTACCTCTTCATAAGTTTGTGCCGAGTGCTTTCTAAAATTCCCTGAGTCAGGGTCTGCCTTCTCAGAGCTAAGTTCATTCCTGCCTTACTGAGTGTACCTTTTATAGAGATTTATTTAATCATGAATCCCCCCTAAATAAATAAATAACTCAAGGCATTAGAAGATGCCATGTCTTGAATCTAAATCCTATCTTCCCGGTCAAAGGAAACCATGATTTATGCATTCTCACTGTTCAGAGAATTTAATAACTCAGCACCAACTCTTCTTTTTTATTGCTGCAGTGTGTTTTCTGTTGAATTTCTCTCAAAACAAATATTCATGCTTAAAATATAGGCCTCTATTTATGTCAGTAGGAGTTAAGAATGCTCCTTTGTCTAACCCATCTCCTGTGCTGACTGTTATTTGCCATAATTAGAAGATCTGTGTATTAGTAACCCCCTTCTCCTATTTATTTTACCAGGCATTCAGATTCTACTTGGAAATAAATAAACAGGGTTTGTACTCTGTGAGAAGAGAGAGTAAAAATATTACCACCCCCAAAAAAATCACATCATGAATTCCACAGTCATCTTTTTATAGACCGGACCAATGCTGCTGACATCTTGAAGCTTGCTGTAGCCTGGGCAGTATAATTCAAAGGCATGATGCAGCCAGCTCTGTGACAGGCTTTGACAAACGCTGTTAACCTTTTCATTTTGGAGACTCTGATCACTGCATCGCAGTGCAGATCCTGGTGTGATACATTTGCTCCTTGTGTACAGTTCAACATATGTGCAGAGTTATGGAAAAACTCCTGCTTTTCTTCAAGAATGACCTTGAAGATGGCAAATTAGCATGTAGAGAGTAATGCCAATAGACCACACGGACATCCACGCATTGTTCCTGGAAGGCAGCAGAGATCTACTTTCACACATGACCGTTTTTGCACACATTTGTATTCCTACTATTGCCTTGGAACAGCTGGTCCCTCTGCTCTGGGAAGTCCCTGATCAAATTCTCTATGATTACTAGATCTTTATCTCCTCATCCCTGGGACAGTCCTGCTAGAAGGCTAAGCCCCCCAAACTCAGGCCGACCAGCATAGTGCTGCCCTCGGCTGTGAGATGGCTCTCGTCCCTATGTCTGGGGTTTCCGAGAAAAATCTTCCAGCAACTGCTGGAATGGCCCTACTGCAAAGAAAAGGAAAGTGAATTCTTCCTGTCTCGCAAAACACAAAATCCTTTTTATTTGTCCAAAAAAATACCCGTGTTGACATCTCAAAGTTATACCTACTGCCTTTGTGCTAATGTGTTTTTCCCTCATGAAGAACGGAATCGGTTATTAATCTTCTATCGACCTGTTTTCTTTTGGGCTTTTATGCCGGACTTACTCTCAGTGCATTGCACTTGCTCCCCAACCCACTCAAAAGTAACTGGAAGGAGACAGATTTTAGACAGAAGAAGAAAGTTGTATAGCAAAGGCACACTTTGTCTCATGTCCTTCATACTTGGGGCGTTCCGCAGGGTTCTGCATGGGGACCCATATTATTTTGTGTTCAGAAAGTCAGAAAACGAATAAGTAAATCAACTAAAAATATTTATTGACATATCACGAGTTGGAAATCTAGATGTAAATTGTGCAGTGTGTCAATGTATTTTTATCAGGGAAAATGTATGAAAGCATTATCTTTTTGCTGCACAGGTGAAATGGAAGCATTACACAGTCTTCCCTATTTCCAAACCAAAACCAGGTTTTAGAATGTTTTGTGCTCAAATTGCAGTGCATTAGGGGTGCATGAGCACTCTTTGCCATGAAAAGTGGAATAATAACACATTTGAGGCTTTGGTTCTTGTTTGCTTTGTTGGGCAACTGAACTAACGGCCAAATTCCTGTCAGACGAATAATAATCAGGAAACTTGGCCCCGGCGACTCGGTGAAGGTGGGATACCTAACACCCTCTCTTTCTTTCCCCGTCTCCCACCGCATGGGCAGGTCTGGAGTCCCTGCGTGACAGCGCCCACTCCACGCCAGTGCGCTCCGCCTCGCACGGAGACTCCTTCGTGCCCCGGTCCCGCAGCCTGGCGGCCGACGCCTGCGAGGGGGGCAGCGCCGTCATCGCGGACGAGGCCTACAGCCCGTCGGACAGCGTGCTGCCCACCCCCGTGGCCGAGCACAGCCTGGAACTGGCCATCTCGCGCCAGATCAATGGAGCCCCCTGCAGCATCGAAGAGGAGAAGGAGTCGGAGGCCGGCACCCCCACAGCTGGGGAGGTGGCCGAATTCGGGCCCGACGGCAAAGCCCTGAGCCCCGAGCACGCCGGCGAGGCGGGGGCCTCCCCGCTGGGCGAAGTGGAACAGGTGAATAAGTTTGTTTTAAGTGTCCTCCGTTTACTCCTTGTGACCATTGGACTCCTCTTTGTCTTGCTCCTCCTCCTCATCGTTCTTACCGAGTCTGACCTTGACGTTGCATTTTTACGTGATATTCGTCAGACCCCCGAGTTTGAGCAGTTCCATTACGAATACTTTTGTCCCCTCAGGCGATGGTTTGCCTGCAAGTTCCGCTGGCTGGTGGGCCTGCTCATTGACACGTGAAACAAACAGGGGAAAGGGCTGTTCACGCGGCTGCCCCCCTCCTCTCCCCCCTTGGGGATTTGAGAAGATGCTAACACAACTACCGTTGCTGTTTCCGCCACAGAATGGAGTGCAGCACCATGCGAACACGAACCCAGCTTCTCTCATGAAACCACAACAGACACTACGCCATGGAGGAGTCTAGGACGGTTTCTGAAGATTTTGCTTTTTTCTTCTTTTTGTTCATTTTTTCGATTTTTTTTTTAAAAAGAAAATCGGATAGACTGAGTTTTTTTTTTTCTCTCTCTCTCTCCAGAATTTCAGGTCATTTCAGGAATTTTTATTTTTACAAAAAAAGACAAACTGAAACAAAATGGTGCGCGCATTTCCTCTTTGAGGAAAAAAAAAACAACCAACAACAACATTTGTTACAAATGGAGAAATAAACATGCCTTCTTTATTTTCTATTTATCTATTTATTTTGCTGTCGGTTGTAATTTAGGTTAAACAACATCTCAAGCATACAAATCGGTGTTTACTACCGGTATTCCATTATGTTGTAACAATGGTATTGAATACAGGAAATCATAGCAAAGGGACGTTTTCAAGTAGGGCACATTTTCAGTTTCGGTGGAATTGGAAGAACATCCATACTAGTCATTACACTTTTGCTGTTTCCTTTGGGGAGGCAAAGAAAGAAAAAGGGGGCTGATGTCACATAACGAACTGGAGCAACATGAGACAGGCGCATTTCAGTAGGGGCCATCGCCGAATTTTTAAAACCACTGTTCGCGACATTTGAAATCTGATGTCTGTGTTTGAAATTTTCCATTTTTCTGAAGCGATGCAGATGTCACTGGAAGACTGGCAGAGGGAGGGGGCAGATTTTGTAAAAGCAGTTCTTGAATTTGCTGACTGATTTTAAAGAGCTTAAACTATACTTTCATAGAAATACAATTATGTGTAAGCAGTAGCAAGCTGTGTAGTAGAGTTCAGATTTTGTTAACTAAAAAAAGACAATAATACCTAGATACAATGGTGTACTGTTATGTGACCTAGCAGTGTCAGTAACTGGTAGAAAAGTGTTCATGGTCAACCCCTTGAAGAAACTCATTAGCTCCTTTTAGATCCAGTTTAGCTAGTTGTGTGATATAGTAAAGCTATGGTTTTACCTAAAAAAAGTTTCAAGCCTTTTGTTTTTGTTTGAAAGTGTGCATTTGTTAGTGCAGTTGTTTTTTTTTCATTTGTTTTTGATGATAACCTCACCCAGGTTTAATCCAAGTATAATGCTAAGAAGTGGAAAAAAAATCAATGTGTTTTTTTCAGTGGTAACGATCTGGGGTTTTACATCAGTGTTGCCTATGCTTTTAAGTTTTTATTTGTGAATATAATAATATTAATAATAATACTGTACTTTTGTACAAAGTAATTTGTTTCCTAAAATATATATTTACTGACTGTTTTTCCTTGTATATTTTAACAAAACTGAAATGTTATTTTGTTATTCAAAATTAAATTATACCTTTTTTAGCTCAGTGGATCAGGTGTGACAGTCTAGGACAGGGACTCCCCAAGTCTGGCCCTGAAGGATTTTATTCCAGCACAACCCTTATTGACTAAACTGGAGAAGTTGAACGGACTTTCCCAGTTCGTCGAGTACCTTTAAAAGCTGCTGGAATGTTGCCCTCCCGGACTGGAATTGCAAAGTCCTGTTCTAGTGTTCTGGGGGTAATGGGAATGAAAGCATACGCAAGAACAAGGGTTTCTCCAGGTTCAAAGGCAAATCGCCAAAAATTCTACTATTTCACCCTCAACCAAGCTTGCCTGAGGTTTTAACTCAGTTACAATGGTCTTCCTTTAGGCTATGCACAGGGCTAGTGTTTGAAATGCGTGAGCTTATGAATTGCTTAATTTCCCAGGGCAGGTTTCTGCGTGTGGTTAAGTACTAAATGCGTGTTAAAAATATTACAGTGCTGTTGATTGGCATACTGTTCCTAAGCTGCATCAGTGATACAGTATGTTTTTTTGCCCCCAAAATCAAAGGCCTGAGCATGAAATGAAATTTAAAAAGCCCGAACAAAAGCCCAGTACAATATTTTTCCTCTAATGGTTAGAAAACCTCATCAAGAACAAGCAACCAAAAGCACCTGTGGGTAAAATACAATCAAACTTCAAAAGCATGGGTACCTACTGTACCATAGCTGAACTGTGAAGTCAGTTTAGGAGCGAAAGGGGAACCTGTCTGGATGCAGACAAGGGCAGATGTGGCTGTGCTGGTGCTTGGTGTTTCTGTGGCCTGTTGGAATTCATGTTTCACAGCTGTATTGTACAGTTGTACCACCGTATTGTTTTTTTATAGAGTGAGGGAGCAATAACTGTGGATTGTCGACTGTTGAATTCTGGATACACCCTGTTTTGTTTCCGCTTTTGTCATTCCCCCCCCCTTCAAAATGTGCGTGGATGTGTAAATAATGAAACAAAGCTGGGTAATGTGAATTTCTAAAAATTCATATTCCTATTTTAAGATTTCTTTTTAAAAAAAAAATTACAGGAAGGCAGAGCAGAGTAAAACAAGAATGCAGACAGTGTAAGAGCTCATGGAGGAAACCCGGGGCTGGGTCTGGTCTTGCAGACAATGGTGTGGACTTGCACTGTGCACTTGCTGCTCGTAATTCCTTGAGTTGTTAATTCCTGCACAGCCCTGGTCAGCTCCAAGGTGAATTTCTGCAGCGATGAAGCTGTTCTTGGATCCCTGGGTTGCTGTGTTAGCTCCACAGCTTAAATCTTAGCAAGAAAGACTAGAAATGACAAAGCTTGGACATCACAGCCGAAATAAAAGCGATCCTATGCCTTTTTTTCCCCAGTTCAGCTGATATTCCTCTAGCAACCTACAGTTTCAGTAGGAGTCACATTCACAACCTGCCCTTCAATCAAACTGCTGGTTGTACAACACAACACAAAAATGAGCAGGTATTTTAGGGACTCAAATGGAAGTGAACAATATGCTGAGTCAAACTCATTTGGAAGGGGGAATAAGTAAGTTTCCGGCCAAAAACTCACCATGCAGTGAGTGGAATATTGATCTTCTGCTCTTTATGGGCTTTTCTATTTTTATGAAGTTAGTTCCAATTCTTACTGCCTTGGCGGTAGTGGCATTCATTTTAATCGGCTGCCACTGTCTGCACACTCCACGCTGCTTGGTGATTGGAGACCAATACTTCCCAGTGAGCACAAACTGTGTATAAGGCCATTTGGATTAATTGAATTGTCCATTGAATGACACCGCCATGTCTTGTGGATGGTGTTCACAATTTCCTGGGTCGTTCTCAAATACAGTAGCTGATCCCCTGTGCCGTCTTACACGCTGCAGTACAACAGGCTGTGAGCAACCTTTTTCTCTTAAAGTGATGGAGCAGAGAACTGTAGGAATTATGATCAGCAAGTGAACTGGATTGCATCTGAATTTGTTTTGAAATGATTTCCTATGGGCAGTCATAGGAAAACTTCCAAAAACATCTTCCTAAAACAGAGCTCTTTAATTGGAACCAAAAATTATCAGCACATAGAATAATTGATAGCCAGCTGTTATTCTAAGCTATTTTAAAATACTGCTAGGCTGTGGAGTGTTTCAGTGGTATCTCATTTTGAGTTTAAAGACTGGGCAATTTTGAAACCGTTTTGCTTCATGTCAAACGTTTCATCCTCATTTTAAGAAAGTACAAAAATGAAGGTGCATCACAAGCAACAACACACACATATGGTGGCAAAAAGAAATTAAATCCTGCACTGTTTGCACTTGTTACTCCCTGCAAATTGCTTATTGTAAAAATGCACTGTTGAACTATCAATGCATCAGTTCCGAATGAACAATAGGATTTTACCTTTTGTGAGCATTGTAAAAACAGTATTAAAAAAACTGGAAAGAGAACCAGGTACATTAAGTCCTTGTTCAAGCTCGATTGTTATTTAAGTAATAGTGTGTTTTCAAAAAGAAAAGAAGTTAAAATACTGAAGTGTGTTGGTCTACATTTTTACAGCATAATGTAGCTTCAGTGTAACGATTCTCTTGTGTGCTGTGCCAAATGTGAAATAGCTCAAATAAGGCAGCACTATTCAATAAGCAATAAAATTGTGATTTAAAAAAAAAATCACCTGTGGTAGCCACAGGCTGTAAAAAAATATCGAGAGCAGTTTTGAGCGCAGAATGACAAAGCATTCTGACCTTTATTTTAATTTATCATGCAGAGGTAATTTTTTTATGAAAGCAATGTTACAGAATGGAACTGAATTCAGCACAGCTGGTTCACTCCTTAATTTATTGCTATTTTTAAGTATGTATCTGGTTTTAAATTCTATGTGGCGGTTGGTATTTTGCCAATGTATGCAAATCTAAGTTCACTATTGTTTGTGCTGTTTTAGAAATGACAGGTATCAGTGTTGTGGTCTTTACCTACAGTGGTGTGAAGGGGACTTTCATTCTGTGCAATGAGGGAAAATTCCCCAGTGAACTGTTTCACACTTAAGTACAAGGTCAGGTGAGAACTGAAATAGAAAATCTGCAGTGGTTCTTTAGCTAGCTTTCCTAGATATGTAAAAAAATGATATAAAATGCCATTATTTTATTATTTTGATTCTTTTGAAAGCTAGCAGAGCACACTGCTTCCCTGTCACTGGTGGATTCTCCATTCTGTTGTGTTTGCGCAGGACGGATCAACTCAAAAACAGACTCTGTATATCTTGTGTCCTGTAGTGCATCTCATTCCACTTTGACATTGACAGATTAATCAATTGGATTTTGCAACATTTGACCAAAGTTTGCTTGTGGTAGATGACAAAGCAGGTTCTGTTTATTACCGAGCTCTAGCATGATTGTCAAACAGCATTCTCAACACAACCTGGACAATCATCCTGTGAAACAAAAAAGACTGCACGTTTCGACTGCTCAAAATTAGCTGCTACTTCAGGATATAGATACCATTCATTTCTTCTATTTAACGCATGGAATGCAAAGCAAAGTATTAAATATTTCTGATCTCTCCCCATCTCACCAAATGAATTTAATTTCAAAACTGGATTGGCAAAAAAAAGTTTATCTGCAGGAGACCTAATTACCACAAAGATGTGTTCATGGATCATTAGCACAAAATGCTTGTTGATATTGTATTTTTAAAACTTCCCCCTTTGAAAAAAACAAAATGATACAAACTTTGTACACTTACATAACTGATCTCTTCTCCAGACTACCTTCTAGGACGTAAATGATTGTTCATCTGTTTTGAAATGATAACAATTGTGTATTACTTTCATTTATAGATTTCATTTTGAATGACAAAGCATTCAAAACAATAAAATGATAGTAAGAATTCAGAGTTCACGTAGCTAAAGTTTATCAATGAGTCAGTATTTATGTTTTGGGCCCATTGGCCTGTAAGAGGTGTCACAGAGCTTCAAATTAAATCTATTTTCTGTCATCTATCAGAAAAGATATGGCCCCATTTTTTGTCATCTTCATATAAGCTCTGTGACTGGTCAGAATCTGATGGATTTTGAGCTCTTTTCCCTCTCTTGGCTTAAAGATAAATATTCCCTAAGGATCTGGAGTTCTTTCCTAGCTGTTTTCAGGTAATACATATGTGAATTTAAGATTGATATGCTCATGCCCAAGGAATGCTCTCAGACATCACAACAAAAGAATAAATCAGGCCCGTTTGTCAACCCATTTGCTCTCTTCTGCTCTTTGCTGGCCACAATTCCATGCAGTGTTGTATAAATATTTTAGGAAGAATAGACTGAAGTTAATTCCTGATAGGAAGTAGCCTGTTTACTTGTATATCATACAGAGAATGGGTAGGGTGTGTAAAACATTACAGCTTCACATACTGTAGTCTAGATTAATTGTGGAACTCGTCTAATACAGGGGTTCACTAAAGCTCTTATAAATTTGGTAGCAGCATATCATTTTTAAAAGACAGCTGATAGCCATAATAGGCATAACTTATCATTGTTCAGCCAGTCTGTGAGGTTCATATCCAAGTAACACACATCCACAGTCTTTCCAAAGAATACACATTGGATGTGGCTACCGACATACTGTATGGACTAATTCCCGAGAGTTCAAATTAGTTTCTACAACATTTCTGACATGCTCAGTTTTAATCTAAGTGCAGTGGTGTGATGGCGTCAAAGATTCACACAGAACAAGGCACTTGAGCTGCACGGACTGTGAGCGGGACAGCTCATGTTTCCTCAAGGCTGCACTGCCTATAAGAACTCATTTGTCCTGCATGGATTTTCTAAACAGCTGCAGAACAACTAATAAACGTTTGAGATCTGTCTAGTCACAATGCAATTAAAGCACACAGCTTAAATTCTGTATTTCATCATTCATAAAAAAACCTATAGTTTTTGTCTGATAGCTCTCCCCATTCCTTCAGATCTGTTTCCTTCCAATTTGTTTGCCAGTGAAGTTCCCAGTAGTGCCAAGGAACACAGTCAGATTCAATTAAAATGTCTTACCCAGCCTGCGTCAGTCCCACCAACACCCTCTCACACATAGATGCAAACACATGTGTGTTTGTTCCTGTGATTTGTTCATCTTGAGTCCTGGGACTGCATCTTTTAACATGAGATTTGAGGTTGTAGTTAATATAAAAAAAAATGTGCCAAATCCAGATTTCTGTTCAGCCTTACTCATTCCACTACCATCTTTGTACTGTGTAGGTAACTTTACATAGGAAACAGTATGAAATATTGTTTCTTTCTGATAGCCCCTTGTAACTGGTGCCATGAAAATATTAAAACTTGAAATAAACTGAAATAATGTTTGAAGATGTCTGCTGTTTTTTTTTAAACAATTCCATTTTAAAAGTACAATTGTTTTCTACAGTATTTAATAAAAACACTTTGGTGTTCTGAAAACTGAACTACACAAGATAGCTTAGCACACAATATCTGCAAAGAGATTAAAGATCTCTCTCCTGCTTATAGCACCTATTGATAATTTATTTTGGAATGCTATCAGAGCTTTGCAGTATCACTCTAATTATAAGTATGCTTGTATACACATTTTGTAGCACAATGTACTGTAAATAAAAATAATTCTACCAGCAGTAAACAAATACAGTACTTTCCTGCCACCTAGTGGAGTTAAGGTTCCAGTCAAAGCTTACAGCTCTATTGCACACATTGAAGACGCTCTGTGAACACAAACACTCCTAAACAATTATTTTTAGCAATGATTAAGAATGCACTTGACCATTTCTAAAAATTTTACTATTCTTATTCCTATATTTAACATGACCGTCGTTTTATACAAAGTCAACTACATACTGTAGCATCACACCAATTCTTATGGATGGGCATTGTATTGGAGCAACCTGAGTGCAGCACCTTGCTCTATGGCACAACAGCTCTGTCCTTCCTGGGATTTGAACCTACAACCATCCAATTAGGAGTCCAGAGCCCTAACTACTCCTCCATATTCATGAAAAGTCCATTTAACATCTGCTGAAATAAGCGTACTATACCTGTGGTATACACAATAATAGGCAGTAGCACCAGTATGCAAGTACTATCTGTGAATCTCCATGTCTTATATTAAACATTGTGCAAATGTAATACTGCTCAAGACTGGACCTCAGTCTCCCACATGAAAACCTTTCGTTACCTGGCCAGATTCCCTATTAACTCATGTGCCTAACAGACAGAGGTCTGCCCAAACTCGCAAATGCTTTAATGTACCACAATTCATATACAGATTACAACTCCGAATACAACAGCCAGCAATAAAACAGCCTGCAGAGTAGATTCGTTTTGTATGACAAATAATATGCTTAGAAATGCCCAGGCACTCACTATAGGGGCAGAGCAGTGGCACTGTGGCTAAGGATCTGCGCCTGTGGCTAGAAGGTTGCTGGTTCTAATCCCACGGCCTGCAGAGGAATCCTACTCTGTTGGGCCCCTGAGCAAGGCCCCTAACCCCAACTGCTCCAGGGATGCTGTACAATGGCTGACCCTGCGCTCTGACCCCAGGCTCTCTCCCTGTCTGTGTGTCTCATGGAGAGCAAGCTGGGGTATGCAAAAAGACAAATTCCTAATGCAAGAAACTGTATAGGGCTAATAAAGTGATCTTATAAGGAAGCCTAACTGTGTGCACCCCTATCCTTACATGTGATCAAAGCAGACAGTTAGAGCCGAATAGCAGAGCATATGGTGCATTAACATTCAGATTTCCTCCCTTCCTGCACAGCCAGTCTCAGTTCTGTTCTGCACAGGACCTGCTCTAGCTTCGAGTGCTTTTTCACTGTGTTGTAACCTGCAGTACTTCAGACCAAATAAAGCATTCTCTCCTGACTGTCACAAGTTCACAAGAAGCATCTAAGGACAGCAACTGAATATAGTCTATAAGTGCATTTAATAAATTCTATAAACATACATACATATAAACACATCAAAAAAACATCTGTAGCAACAATAAAAAGGCGAAGAAAGGCCTCAGTCCAGGAAGACGTGCACGCGCCCGCTGGCGTTGCCCCCTGCCAGCGCGTTCCGGTGGGGGTGGAAGACTGTGACGGAGCAGATGGTGGTGAGGCACTGGGGCTCCTGGAAGGTGTGGACGCGGCGGCCGCTCTCCTGGAGGACCTCGATCCTGCGCGGGTACTGCATGCTGCCCACCGCGAAGCAGTCCTCCTGCTTGGGGTCCCACACGGCGCGCAGCTTGGTCAGCCAGCGGCCCGTGTGCATGTTGTGTCTGGGCCGGGAGCACGGGACAAACACGCCGTCAGGTGCCAGACAAGCAGCTGCCTATTCTTTTCCCTGCGAGACTCCAGGGCACCCAGCTTGCTAAATCTCCCCCCGTTCAGCAAAACAGCTCTTATCTTCAGGGGCCACATAATCTGCAGCTTTTCAATCCAAATGTACTGACTAGACAGAACTACATAGGGTAACTGGATTAATCGGACATGTTTTTAAAGGTTTTCAGCCCTGCATAATCCCAACAGCCTCTACAACCTGCTGGATTGTGGCCCCCTAGCAGTAAGGCTGTATCCCAGCGATACAGTTCAGCTACAGTACAATATACAGATCGATGTGTCAAAGACCTGGACTGAAATACACTAAAGGTATCCGATTCCGTGTGCAGGTGGCTCTCTGCCTTACTTTACCCATCCTTCTCCCAAGTGCAGCCAAATCGTTTGTTTGTTTTTTTTACAGACATGCTGTCCATCATCCTTTCATACTCTGGAGATTGGCCTCTTTTACTTAAGACAAATCATTAATTCTAAATTAGTACTTGAAAAACAAAACTCTGCACTGTTGTAGAATGAACGCTGTGGCTGGTGTTGTACATGAACACATATACAGCAAGTCCCCTACCTTACGAACTGCAAGAGAGGGGCGTCACCGCTGAGCGAAGCAGTATCAAACACCCTGGAAATTTAGAAAGGCATGTGTGATATTCCCCTTTACTGAAGCAAAAAAAAAATCAATGACTGTAACACAGCGAAAAGGTTACAAAATAATGTGAAGTAATTTTAAAGAAGAACTCCCGAGTGATGAGAAATCACTGTCATTTCTTCTGTGAAAGCCTGTCTCCACTCGAGGAGATGGCTGTTCCCCACTGCTCTCGAGAAGGACCTGGCTCTGCTGCTGTCAAGTATCGGACGGTTTGCACCAGCCCATAGGATCTCCCAAGAGGAAACCAGAATGCATCCATCCTGTTTTGCTGCAGCTGTCCATAGACAATTTAGGAGTTAATAAACTACTGCATATACTAGAACAACAAACCCTTCCAATCTGCCATTGTTTAGCTTCTGTCCTGAAGGGGAGTTCTCACCATAGTACAGTGTAAGAATCATTTAGCCTATAGCTGTTCTCATTTACATATCTTTAGTGAAGTGGTGTGTGAAAGCTGTATAAATGGAGCTCTGCACAATGGTTTTAAGCAAGTCAGGGAGACTCACCGGATGGTATTGTCAAGGCAGGAGGTCAGCACTCGGTGTCCAGTGTTGGGGGAGAAGTACGCCGAATTTACACTCAGGTTGTGACCGGAAAGAGAAGACACTGCACAACTGGTCTTACTCTTCTTCAAGTATCGGACATCATAAATGCTTACATTGCTAAAGAAAAAAAATAAAATTAAAAAAAAATTATGTCTGTCAGCTGCTTGACAGTCTGGTCGGATGGAAAAAAAAAAGCTAGATTTTCTGAAATGTAGCGTCTCACTGCAAGTTAAACAATGTGTTTGTTTATGCAACAACCTAGAGCTGAAGGCCAGCTGGAAATGTAATAGTTATTAAGTGCAGATGCTTCTTACACAAAGTGCAAGGTGTGGGGCTAAAACAGTCACTGAAACTCTTACTACCCTACTACTCGCACTACTTCATCACAGCGTCACACAAAATAGGCTTGAAACAGGAGAGAACTGGAATTATATTTCGTACCAGCAGATAATGTCAAACCCTTCTACAATCCTTCATGTATGAGTTCCCTCTGTCATACCAGGACCCCTCAGTCATAATACAGTTGTATCACCGCAAAAGGACCATAATATCTTTGTATGTGTATTACGGTAGATACAGTACATACCCCTTCCCTGCAGTCACAAAATACTGCTTCTTCACAGGATGGACATGGACTGTCTGGAGAGACCTGGTGTCCAGCGCAAACAATGACTCATGGGAAGTCCTAAGCAAACAAGTGACACACAGTGAAGCAATCCCCAAAGAAAAATCATTGTTTCACACAGCTCACACCGCTACTTTTTAACCAGCAGGCAACCTCTTCACGAAAGGCACTACCTTAAAGATCTTGAAATGACTAAATCATACGTGAGACAGGAAAGGAACAGATTTAAAGAGGTAAAGGAGTGGACGCGAGAATGTTGTTTACCCTGGAGTCCTCCTGTCTACAACGGCGACATTCCCCTCCCACTGACCGACAACCAAGCTGGAGCAGTCTTCATTGAGAAAATCAAAGCTTGATAAGCTTTTGTCGGGGACATACACCTGGTTCAAAAAAGACAGGGTGACCCTTCAGTTGCTGCTTTTTATTTTGTATTTAGTCGTGTCCTTACATCCTAGGTTACTGCAAGCCGTGCACATTGTTATCCTCGTCCATGAGGACAGTCTGCCAATGAGGGAAAGCAGGTGCCCAGAAACGCATGGGACACTCCGGGCAGCTGGCACCTTGTCAAAAAGTAAGCGTGGATCTCTCTGGCAAAGTGGCAAAGACAAGGAGCGGCTTGAACGCTCAGTGTGTGGGGGAAACCCCAATGCATACAGTATCTTTGGCAAGCAGTTATGCAGACATAAAAGGCTTCAGTGTCGCTTTGGCTTTGTTTAGATTATGAATGCCAAGCACAACAAGCCCTGTGGAAGAATGCCTTATTCTCCATCGAAATCGAGTGGCGCACCTCATCAAAGACGGCCCTGCTGATGTCTGCCGCGCGCAGGCTGCAGTCATAGCTGGCAGAGAGCAGGTGGGCCGGCTGAGTGGTGGAAAAGGCCATGCAGCAGACTGGACTGGAGTGGGGCTCGAAGAGGAGAACCCCATCGTCGCCCAGGTCGCTGCCCTGAAAGACAGGAGACAACAGCTCAGTCCCGCAGGGATCTCCACACTAGTGCTCTATGAAACGGTTAACAAAATATACAAATGTTCAGTGCAGTATATCCTTATATGACTCTGCTCGTTTCAGGTAGTAACTAACACAAACTACTCAAAATCATTCATATACTGTATTTCTTTCTGAAACAGAAAGCCCATGTCACATTATGGCTTAATATGACCTTTGTGACATGGACATTTGTTCACAATAAAATTAGAGTATGCAGGGTGCAGTATGCCATGAAAAAACATGGACACTTGTTATTATTTATTCTTTCTTCCAGAAACCAAATACATTTAGAAAAACTGTCCACATTGCTTTGTGTTCTCTTCTTAAACAAAATCACAGATGATCTAAGTTTCCTTCTGTTTTAGTCTTGTGGCATTTCAAAGCTGCCCTGTTTAAACCAAAACACCCAGACTGAATATCCCTCGTCTTACGAATATTTCTAGCTACGTAGGCACCAACTGATGGTGCCCTCTGCTGTGGGATTGGGCAATACTTCTCTTCCATAAATGCTAGGTGAAAAGACATACTGTTTTGTTTAGACATTTTGGAAACAAGACACCGTAGGTAAAGAAATAAAGTAGCGAGACAGCATCACAAAGCCGGCTCAACACAAGCCACTTCCACATCAACATTTAGGGCATTTCTCACATTACTGCTGGATTTGTTACTGCTACCTATACATATATTCACACAACTGTAAACTTATAAGTCTGTCAAAAAGCAAATCGTTCCTGCACCAAACTGATTCACAGAATCGCGGCAATTAAGACCCTGCACATCCACTCTCCTGTTGCCTATTTCAAACTCCGCATGCAGATTTTGGCGCATGCATGACCTCGAGCCCCTGCTTGCTCAGTACTGGCAGTTTCAAGCCGGGCGTCTGACAATCGCCCCCTCGGAATGTCATCATCACATGGCATTTTTCCCCGAAAGGACAGCTTTCTCTAAAGCTGGGACAGAACTTCACCACCTGATAACACGTGATAGAGTCATGAGTCATGCCAAATTCTAGGTATGCGAAAACCCAGGAAAAAAGACCACTAAAGAGTATGGAAGGTTTGCTAAGCTGAGGAAACGCTCCAGGTAAGTACTGACCAGGGCCCAGAGTCCTACATGGCCAGATTTATCGCCGCTGGCAATCAGCAGCCTGCTGGTGCTGGGGTGAACCGCCATGGAGAACACACGATGCTTCACAGCCTTCACTACGCGTTCCTCGTTCAAGGTCATGCTCTCCAGGACCGACTTGTACCTGCAAGACAAGCGACAGAGAACAGGCACTTCCGAAAACACCCCACTGTAGAGGCGTGGAAGGCTGTGGGCTCCAATCCCAGCTGAGGCTGTACATTGTGCTTCTTCCAGAACCAATGGTCCACTCACAATGTCCCAGAAACGAATGCCACAATGTACAGGTTTTTTCAGAACAGTTGGATTAAAGCTGAACTTGAAATGCATGTAAGTATCTAGGTTTTCTCTCATTCCATTTGCTAAAAGATGAGACATTAAATTTTAAACTTATACATGACCAAAACAACTTTCTTTCTCGCATGTGAAAAACAAAGTCTTCCAGACCTAAAGTTAATTCTAACTAAAACCTGTCTGAATAAGAGCTGCGCATACAGTAACTCAACTACCCATCTACTCTGATAAAACACCAAACATCTGCACAGACAGGGTCACCAGCCCTATGCACAAATTAGACAGCTGTAGCAGGGTTTTTTCCCATCTGGGACCAGACAGCTGAAGCTATGTTCTATTTAAGCATTAATTATGAGAGAGTTTAAGAATATAAGTAAAAAATACTTACTGCTTTAAATCTAATTTCTGCTTTGTCTCAAGAGCAATGGGCTGTTCAAGGAAAAAAAAAAGTGCGTTGGAAACAGAAATTAAAACTGTTACTGAAAACAAAAAATGCTTTACAACGTACGTGCCTTTTGACAGCAAAATGACACTGATGAAATACCGAAACGTTTAAGACTGAGACATTAACCTCAGACTGGACAGAAACTGATTAACGGCTGTACCAAACCCACGGACTGAGGCGTCTCTAATATTCTACAATGTCGGTGTGGCAGGGACGTAGCCGAAGACACGGGGAGTTTAAAAATTAACACTGTTGCACATGCAGACCAGATCGGTACAATCCTGCCGTTCCTGTCAAGTCATGCCATCTTTACACAAAGCACTGAAAGGCTCTTTTCTTGGTAAAGACTAGCTGAGACACCTGAGGACACGTACATATTTGGCTTCAAATTGTAATAAAAAAGGCACATGCCAGGACTCGTTCCCCACCTCGTTCCAGAGCCGCACAAGACCAGAAGGAAGCCCACCGCCTTCTAACAGGTTTGCTGGCTCCATCGCTATCGGACCTTCTTTCGGGGGCGGGCGCTAAAGTAAGAAGATACAGACACGAAACATAAACACACAGAGTTTGCTTAAGAAACAGAAAAGGTTTCTTTTGGAAGCATACGCCAGAACAGAAAATGCCATTTGGCGTGTGCATAATTAACCTGGACATTACCAATGCTAACATTTCTCTCAAGTAAGATTCGGATCTAGTAAAACAGATAAGCTGGCACGTAAAAGCCGTGCAACTGTGTCCTCTACAATTTCAGTAATACACTGAAAATGACCCCAGCTAACACATCTAACAGCATTCAAACTGTAACAACAGGATCCCAGGCCCTTCCAGGGATAGCAAAACTATTCCCAGAAACACGTTGAGCAAGTTTCAAATCTGTCCCCACAACTTTAATCCACCTAAACAGCATTACATATTCAGATTTTGGAGTTGTCTTGTACAAAAGACTCTGCTAGTCAAAAAAAAAAACAACAACAACAGAAAGGGTCCAAACCAGCAGGCCTGAGGGTCTTGTGACCATGGCTGCCGATGTTCTGAAGGCGCTTCCTGACTCACCCAAGTTTCCGCGGGGACGCTGGCCTTGGCCTGCTCGGGGAGGGCCGCGCCCACCGGGTCGAGCCGCTGCAGGCGCATGGACTTGCGTACGGGCTGAAGCTCCTCTGGGCTGCTCTTCTTTCTCTTGCTGCAAGGGCCATGACCGGACCACAACACAAGACAGCTCCACTTACTTCAGCGCGACAATATTTCTTTCAATAGCACATTTACAGAAAAAATAGTCATAAAGGTTTGTTTTTATATAGCATCTTAAAAGCGGAACAACAAAAAATACACGGTGATAGAGGAGATGGTAGATGGGGGTTTGGAATACAGTAGGAAAGCAAAGGGCAGACAAAGGACCAGTTAAAGAAAAGCCCTTGTACAAAAGAAAGCTTTGAGTCTAGATTTGAAAAGAGCTCAGGGAAGGTGAGTTTCTGAAATCCTTAGGGATAGCCTTTTCTTTCCCAAAAAAAGTAGGAAAATATCAAAGAAATGCTTTAACACATCCTTACGTTTTGAGACCTCTTTGAGCAGGTTTGGCTTTCAAAGCCTGAGCGGTCTGCAAAACAACAACAAAGAATTTCAGCCAAATTACACCGCAAAATGGATTTGTTCAAAATAGTCTGAAAGTGAAAAAAGACATCTTCTTGTTCAAACTTTCCACACAAAATCTATAACCGAGACTACGAAACCCACCTGGGCTGCTGCTCACTGTTAGAGCAAAACAACCTGAATGTTGCTCTTCAAAACAGATCCAACCTTCATAAGAACAGGCTAGCAACCACAAAATTAACAGGATGTAAAACCCCCATTTGAACTAATTTCCACTTTCAATAACTGAACATGCACTCGATTGCTTTTCCATGCTTTAGACAGTTTTATCATTCTAAACAGTGAGTCCATAAGTATTCAGCAAACCAATCCCAAGGGTACCTCAGTAATATTTAGAGATGACAGGAAAGCCTGGTTCTGTTTGATGTTCTGCAATCGCTTCAGTTCATATGAGGACAATTTTCCAGGCGTCACCTGCAAAAGGAATTGCAGACACAATACAGTCAGCGCTACTTTCACTGCTTGGTGAAGCTTTGACTTACAAACACTCCAGCTAATGCCGACACTCTCCCATGAAAGACGTTTTTCTCAGATCTGGCAGGAAAAAACATAGAATTCAAGAGCAGCATTTCGGATTACTTTCAGAAAGTGTCCTAACAGTCTTTGAAGAGCTTGTCCTGCACCAGTGTGTATATAGCATGCATTTGTTTGAATGAAAATTTTCAGATCCATTATGCAAAATTTAATCCAAGGGCTCAAGTCTGCATCAAGGTCTCTGATTCTGGATCTGGAGAGCTGCAATCCACTTATTCTCAGTATTAACAACACCACAGTGATACGGATTGATTAACCAAGTGACCTGTTCAATTAAAACTGGTTTTGAATAACCTAGCTTAACAATTGCCATTCCTAATTGGCCACAGTGTAATTATTCCAGGGCTTTAGAAATTGGTGATTTAGCGGTGACCTATAAGACCTTCTGGATCCAGGCTCTGCAGAATCAGGGTTCGAGACCTCTGCCCTAGACTGTGCAGAAACCTCACCGGGCCTTCCCACTCGCTGTCACTGCTGCACTCGCTGTCCGACCTGGACCTGCTCCGTGACGCGGCAGGCTCATCCGACGACGAATGTCTCTCCTGACAGACGACAAAGTGCACAGTAAACATGTCGGCTATCATCTCTTCAAATGCTGTGATCAAGCATGAAATTATTTTTTTGTCTATTTATGATTATGTTTTATTGCAAAAGGACATTTTCTATAGAATATTTGCTCAGTTTTTCTTTAATATCCAACACCAAAACATAATCAGTTTTAAAAAGAAAGGCTTGGGCCGTGCATCTAAGCATGAATTCGCAGAAGCTGAGCACGCCAACAAGCACGGGAGAGACAGAATTAGAGGGTTCCCGAGATATCATAACAAATAACAAAAACATCCGTCAGAAGAATGGCCTTTTGTTAAAGGCACAGTTTTGTGACGCACAGAAGGTGTACGTAATCAGCTGCGTCTGCTTTTGATTTGTTTTGTGTGATGCTGGACTCCGTCACTGTACAATCTCCCTTTAATCACTGCAGATCGAGAAAAGTGGGCTCTGTTGAACACCCTCACTCAACTTCTCCGAGTCCTGATTTTGGATTCTAACCAAACCCCACCGTGACTGACCTGACTAGGCCCCAGACTTTTTTTGAGGTTTCTATAACTGAGGACTGTGGGTGCCGATTCCCTGGGATCTTATACCTTTAAAGGATTTCATGCTAAAACTTGCTAGTACACTAGTGTAGTGGAGCTAGTGTGGTGACGTCAGCGCCCTCCCTGGGCGCAGCAGGGACCTCAGCTGCCTGGGCTGAGGGAGGTCTCCTTTAGCTCATGGGGCTGGTTCCCTGTTGCGTGACGCCGGAGACCCGGGTTCGCGCCCCAGGTGCTGCGGGACGAAACGGGGTGGCGGAGGGCACGAGCCCGCGCGGAACCGCGACGGTCACACTAGCACAGCCTCACGTAGAATATCCTGTCGGATTTTGGTCACCATGTAATAGAAAAGATGTTGCAGCTCTGGAATCAGTCTAGAGAAGAGCAGCCAGACACATCTGAGAGTTTCAGCGAACGTCCTACACTGACAGACTGAAGGAACTGGACCTTTTTATTTCTTTATCAGAGATGACCCCGGGGTGGGGGGCACTGTCTGTGCTGAAAATCCTCAAAGATATTTGTCAAAGAGAACCAAGCAGGCATCTTCAGAACGAACAGTTAGAACACAAACCAGGGGGAATAAGGGCAAAACACTGTACATGGAAGAGCACTTAAAAGAACCGACTCCTTCACCCTCAGAGCTGTCAAGGGTCTGGAACGAGCCCATCCGGCCTTGTTGGTTAAGCCCTGGCTTCTCCTCGCATCAGTTAACTACTAACTCCCGAGGGGGCTCGATCAAGAAACAGCTGAATTAGATCAGCTACAGACTGGCCATCAAGGGCGAACGGGTCTACCTTTCTCTTGACGCCCTGCCCCGGGGCCGGGTGCGCTTTCCCGGGCGACTTGCGCATCGGGCGCTTGCTGGGCAGGACCTCTCTCGGCACGGCGGCCCCGCTCCTCCCCGCAGCCGCGCCCGGGGGGCTCGGAAGCAGAGTCTGCTCCTGTAAGATGTTTACAGGCCAAAAAAAACGTTACTCCACTTGGTTAACAGGCTGGGAGGGTGTGTTGCAGTTTTGCGCTTGTGGAGGTCTAAAAACAGCGTGCCGATTTCAGATTTGATCCGTCAGCCTGAAGTTTTCGGCTCCTGCTATACTCGGGAGCACATTCCTCAATAAAAACCACCATAAGGGATTTCAATCCCAGTTTCCCCACTAATAATAATAATAATAATAATAATAATAATAAAAAAGTGGCAGGAATCCTCACAACCAAGCACGTTTTAAACGCAAAAGCGGAATGAATCCAGGTTGATTCTTTCCTGAACAGTCACGGTGCAGAGGCTTTTATTCACATCATCTCCCGAGGTAAACATTACTTAAATTAAAAATAAAATGGCATAATGCTGCTCAAATTTGATATACCGCACAGTAAGCTCCCGAAACGGCTTTTTTCCCGAGGCACAGTAGAGGGTGTGGAAGTCAGGACAGGTCTATAAGAAAGACGACGCTATCGGAGAGCTCCGAGCACCGCGCCGGGAACCCAGATCCTGCATGACGTCACGCCGCCGGTCCCGAAGAACAGCGGAACCCCGCCGCGCAATGCACTCGAGCAGACGGCTTATTTCTATATTACAAACATTAAACGTACCACTAAATAAAACCAGTTCAAATATGCAATGAGTTTGGCAGGGCTCACTGACGTGTACCACGATTGCCGAGATGCAAAAATAACAACCCCCCCCCCCATCTAATCATGGCACCAAGACTTCTTACAGCGAGTTGACAACTCTCTCAAAATACAGATACAACAGTTCTGTACACCGAAAGAAGACGGTCCTGGCAAGACAGTAACTACATTTCCTCCTCAGCAGCGTCTTTCCTTGCGTCGGGGTTTCACGTACAGACCAGCAGCCTTCTTGACTCAGACGCGTCTCAAGCAGACAGATTTGCATAGAACAAGACCCGCAGCCAAATCCTTGCAGTGTCGTATTAACCTACATCTGCTCTACTGCGGCCGTGGCGTGGTCTACATTGTGTGAAGTCTGCAACGTAATCATCGAGAAGATCAACCTGACGCAGAGAAACACTTGTTCCGCCACTCGTCGGAGCTCCCAGTCCCACCCGCACAAGAAACAACCACCAAGGTTCAGTATCGGCGACAATTTCTCAAGAACAAAGCTAAAAACCCGGTGTAAACTCCTGTAATGAGATAACTCACCTTCATTCGTTGTAATTTCACATAAGGAATACAACCGGAGTTAAATTTGCTTTGCTCAGCTACAGACCTCACCGCTGTTGGCATTCTCCGATATTCCTGTCAAGGAGTAATGTGCTTTTATGCGATGTACAAGCAACCTTTCCCGTCCCTCCGCGCCTGCAGCTCCGTTGTGTAAGTTTCAACTCTTCCCGCGGAGTTATGAAACAGTTCCCTCGCGCGCTGGCCCGGCATCAACAGCCGCGTCACGCGTGACGTCACCGCCGGCGCAGCCCTGCCGCGAACAGGC